CAGCAGCGGCACAGCCACTGACCCTCAGGGATGTAGGGCACTCCATAACACTCCTGGTGCACAGCCAGGTTACAGGAGTCGCAGAAGAGGATGACATTGCTGTTGAGGCACTCATCATCCAGGCACACGCAGCAGAAGGCATCGTCGTCAATAGTGCTCTGAGAGGGTGCCCGACTGCGTGCTTCCCGGTACGCCTCCTCCTCCAGCCGATCCACCAGCAACTCAAAGGTGTCTGGTGTGACAGCTGAGTGACCCTCTGACGTCCTGCCCGCATTGACCATCTCTAGCCAGGCAGTGTCCTCTTCATCCATGTCATATTCTGCCTCAGCTTCTTGCTCATCAGTCAAGAATTCAATGTAACGGTAATATGCCGTAGGCAAAGGAGGTGCCTCGACTGGTGTGAAGGTTTCTAGCACGTGAAACTTAGGTTCAGGGAGGGTCATGTGGTGATGGTAAGCCGTTGCCTTAAACTTTTCAGGCGTTTGTGGATGAGAATTGGGGCAGTGGTTCTTAGAAGGTGGTGGCGACTTGACAGGAGGACATTTGGAGTCTTTTCTGCGGCCTCTTGGTGTGACTGTTTTGCGGACTGTTTGGACACTGCTGGTGGGAGATGATGACTGCTCACTGTTCTCCTTGTTGCTGTTACACTCACTAATGTCCTGAGCCATCATCTCATCTTCAGTAATGACCTCCAATGGCTCCAGAATAGAAATGCGATGAAGCCTACCATCCAGTTCCACCTCCACCACCTTCTGGGCCTGGGCATAAGTCAGGGTTTCTCTGCTTGGAGATGCTTTGAGGCTGTAAGGGGACGGGGATCGCTGGCGGGCACCCCCACGCCTGCCAACTGTCCCATTGGACTTCCTGACATCGGTTCCACCTCCTGCAGCCACCTGGCCTTTTCGACGTGGCTTCCTCATAGGCCACCAATCACACGTTCCCTCCTGTTGGTTTAAAAAGAAATAAAATAAGATATGTTGTCAGACTGTAAACAACAGACAATATATAAAACATATATTGTACAAGAATAAGCATTTGATGGTGCTACATTAAAATATGAAAATATTATGCCATCATTTAAGCATTGGGTGGATGGATAGCATTGTCCTTGTGTAATATTTTGCTGTTATTGTGAGCTTTTTTTATTGTTCAGTAATAACTTCTTATTTAGCTAGATTTATTTTCTGCTGTTTCACTAGCTTAATTTCCCCTTGTGATCGTTATATAATATTAATAGGACTAAACAAAATCGAATGACATTGCTTTCACAACGCCATAAAACTAAGGCCTAAAGATGCTAAACATGCTTCTTTACACATTAACTCGTTCAGAAACATCTTGTGCGTTGCATTTCAATGCACAGCGGTATTAAGCAGGGACATGGTAAATACCACCTGTAGTGTAAACATTCCTTCACACAGCTCAACTCGAAAAACCCTGACCTATGTATTGACAACTGGCCAACTGTTTAGCTGAGGGTCTCTCTTCACTGTGAATATACACACGGCCAGTAAAGAAAAATAATCTGTAGATGATTCTCGACTTTATCTCATAAACTGCTGGCAACTACTAAAAGGGCTAGCCATAACACAACCGGTACATCCAATCGGCTTTCAGGACAATTTGACTGATCCACCCCTGAACCAATCAGCTTTAAGGATACGACAGTTTCAACTGCTCAGTGTCCTTATTTCGGTAGTAAAATGTCAGCCATATTTACAGTTTTAAAACACTGTTAAAAGCTCTTCCACAGTTTAAATTTTAATAATAGTTTTGAAGTGTTGAACCAGTGCTTCACCTGGTTGGATGACAAAGGCACAGTACTGTGACAGAAGTACTCTGACATAAAAGTAGGGAGACAAGAAGTAACGTTACAGTTTACGATATCGGCTAGCTAATCTGCTAACTTTAAAACATGGACAGTAAGTTAACGTTACCAATGTTAGCTGGCTTGTTATTTTTTAACGTTGACAAGAAAAGGACCGGTTAAACCGTTGCTAGCTAAAACGGAGTTAACAGTTCTGAGCCACTCTAATAATATAAAGAAACAGTAACGTTAGCTACAAAACTTGAGCCATCTTACCTATTATGGCAACTGACTGACACAGGTAGCTCTACAGCCGGCGGTCTGTAGCCTCTTCTACAGTAATGGTTGCCTAGCCAGCCGCCTTCCTCGCTGCTGTAGTCTCTAAGCTGAGAGCTAACGTTACTGCTAGCCAGCCAGTTTGCTGGTACAGCCGGTATAACGTTATTTCGCTATATTATAACGCTTCCGTTCCTTTACAACACAGCGATTGGGAGACAAGCAGACAATCCCAAATGCTTGTTGAGAACACGAGTGGTATATTTACATTGATATTATGAGAAGCAGATTATTGTCGACCCAATTTTGTGAGAAGGAGAAACACTAGCCTCCTTCAGCTAGCTGGCTAGCTATTTGGATTCTACTAGAGTATGTGCTCAACTGAAATTAGCCGAAGTAAAACCACAGGTCTTCCGGATACATCTTTCAAAATAAAGTCCTTATTATCGTATACTGTGTTTTCATACAACTCATTTACAACTGATATAATAATCAGAGGTAAAACGTTTAACATATTATTTACTGAAGTAAAAGTACTACTACCCACAGTGTAGAAATACTCTTTTATAAGTAAAAGTTGTGCATTCAAAACTTTACTAAGCCTAAAGTAACCTAAAAAGTGCTTGCATGAAAACATACCTAAAGTACCAAGAGTAAAAAGTACTCATTATGCTGAATGGCCATTTCAGAGTAATATATATTACTGGATTATAATCACAGTCTATGATGTTTTACTGTGTTCATCACTTTAGTGTTGCAGCTGGTTAAAGGTGGAGCTAATTTGAATTACATACTGCTGGGTAACTAGTTAATTTCCTCCTGAGGCTCAATTAACTTTTATCTTTATAATAAAACATCTAATTTATTTGTTGACTATATTTTGTATTAATAATATGAATCTGCAAAGTAACTAAAAATGTAGTGTTGTACACAGTACAATATATACCTCTGAGATGTAGTGGAGTATAAGTATAAAGTAGCAGAAAATGGAAATACTCAAGAAAGGACACGTGCCACAAAACTGAACAGAAAAAAAAGTGAAGTGAAGAAGGAGAGTAAAGTAGATGGATTTCTTGAGGAAGCTTGAGGCTGCCAAATTCCCACGCCAAGTTCTTGTCAGCTTTTACAGAGGAGCAACAGAAACCATCCTGACTGGAAACATCACTAACATGGGATGTGCACGGCCCAGGACCGGAGGGCTCTGCAGCGGGTGATTAAAACTGCTCAGAAGATCATTGGTACCCATCTCCCGAGCATCAGTGTTATCGGTGAGGTGAGGTGCCTACGCAGAGCCCAAAGGATACTAAAGGACAGTACCCACCCAGCCACAGCCTGTTCACCCTGCTGCCTTCTGGGAAGAGAGATAGAAGTTTCTGCTGCCACAACACCAGACTGCAGAGCAGCTTTTCCCCCAAGCTATCACACTCTTAAACTCTAATTCATCCTCAGCGCTGCTCCATTAAATATAATTTATTTCTGTTCACCATTTTTCATAATTGATTTTGTATTCATGTATATTGTCTGGTATTTAGCAGAAGGGAGTTAGAAAACTCAATTTCACTCTATGACTTGTTATATTGTGGCAATAAACCTACTTACCAACCTAATATAATTTCCACCACTGAAGATAATTCCATTTCATATGAAACAGACCTTAATTACACCTAATCGTCCAAGCTTTGGCTGGCAACATGTTCTTTTTGCAGTATTTCATTTCCATACAGTCTAAAACAAAGTGATGTAGTTATCAATACACGTTATAAATGATATACGTTGGATGAGTCTCTGCTAAGTGCAGAAATACTCTTTCCCACACTTTTTATTTACATATAATAAATCACAAATTTTTAATGTATTCTTGCTTTAATTATTTCCAATGTTTTTGAATCACTAAAAACTACGCTGTTACTGTTTACTGATTTAACACACAATTTTCAGGGGATATTTGATCTCCTTGTATCTTATCTGTTGTCTTGAAATGATGCAGTCATTTTTTAAACTAAATATTCAAGGAGAAATAACTTTAAAATTTATAGCCGCACAATGAGTTGCCATTGTATTCAGTTAGTTACATCCTTTTATTTTGAAAGCAAAATGTCTCACTTCCGCTCTTGGTGGGCACCTGTATCACAGCAGATTGATCCTAGTTTAGCCCGCCCCCATGACGTCAGCAGACTATGATTTTCGCGCGCAACCATCAGGTTATACGACAGAAATGTGTTGATCTTAGTACAGCTGTATGCATGTGGGTTTTCATCCAGACCAGGTCTTTCAAAACAGCGCTCTGAAATTTATCTTCATCTGACTGTTTTCGCTGGAGTGGAAACCTGACACTTGTCTTGTCACATGTGCACAAAACATGCAGGCACACATGCGGGCTCATGAATTGTTTATTCTTATTCACACACACACACACACACACACACACACACACACACACACACAGAAAAAGAAACAAGCCTTTAACATGTGTGTGTTCCATGGTTAAAATCGGTGTGGGGGATAGTAAGGTATCTAATGCATGTGTGTGGATGTGGACCCACAATCAAATAGATGACCTAGAAATATAAAAACAAAGTCAAACAAGCAGAGACATGAAGAAAGGGCCACTTAGTTTTTAGCATCATACACACTGACATGGTCACATTTTCCATATGACACTGGTGACACATTGCACATTCACAGTAACTGCTGATCTTCTGGGGCCATTGTCCGTCAAAAGGTTTTCAGGGCATTCACAGGCAAGAAACAGATTTTGTCCCTATCTGATCATTTTAACTAACAACATATAAGCTGCTATTTTCACCTCAGCACTGCACTAATTTATGCCAAGAGATTTTAGTTGGCTATGAGTCTTTTTGCGTAGTCTGTTGTGGGCAGCAACATTTTCTATTTGTTGGAATAACAAAACTTCATACACATCTTCTCTTATTGTTTAATTGGAAAACAATATTACAGTAAATCTCACAGTAAACCCTGTGATATAAGGTCATAATACATTTGCAAAACAATCCACTGGGAATGTGTAACATAAAGAGCAATCTACACTTAGGAAACAATTGCACATTGACAGTTTTAAAATAGTCACTCTTCTGAACACTGATTCAAAATCTAAACATATCTAGGGTAAAAGAAATAGAGTGAATCCATAGTTAGAATATACAAGGGCACCATTGGCTGTATGCTGTATAGCTAGTGGCATCTGTAATTAAAAGTCATTCATCAGGTCACTGAGACATAGTCAGGGTGTTTTTCCTCTTAGAGTCCCGCCGTGGGAACGGCACAAAGCTTTTCAACTCTTTGAAACACAACCCTATGGACAAAAGGGGAAAACAATTTGTTTTCTGCACGTGCAGCATCTCCAACACCAAGAATAATTAAAAGGTTAGCTTCAATCATTTAAAAACCATGACAATAGCGCTCTTCCACTGTTTACTGTCTTCACTAAGACTCTCATACATAAAAAATTGTCTTTCTATTTTCTGTAAAAGGCCTCTTTTCTGAGAAATATGTAAAACGACTGTAAACAAATGAAATCCTAACTGATACTATAACATAAATTCTGTGAGATCTGTAAATGACAGGTACATATTACACAGTGTATGTATACACAACTCAGATCTGCACATTGATTGTATTAAGGTAATTTCTGTTTGCTTAATGTTTTTCACTTACGCTTCCATTCATCCAGGGTCAATGTGGCGTTGTCATGGCTGTCATCGTATGGCTTAGGCTCAGGAAAGTCGTCTGGGTCCCTTAGGCTGTCGAAATATGGGTGCTCTAGAGCCAATTCGGCTGTTGGCCTCTCGTCTCCATCCAGAACCAGCATCTTCTCAAGCAGGTCGATACCTGCAAAGGGTCGGAGGTACATAGTGATTCAACAATTTGTTTAAACATAAAAACCATCAAATTGTACATGTCAGTAAATGTGCCACATGGCAGGTTGCTGCAAGCTTTTCAGAATAAGATGATTAAATTATGCACACCAAAGGAAACATTTTACTATTTATTTTGTACCTATTTAATGTAACAATTTAAGCTCATTCCAAAAGATAAGAAACTGACAAAAATGAACATTACAAGAAAATGAAAGAGATGATTACTTCAACAACAAAGTTATAATCCCCAACTGCTGCAGTGGCCCAGCACTGTGGGTAGTAGTAAAAGACTGTACTTCTACTAAATGTGTCTCAAGCGTGACAAAAAGATGTAAATAATAATTTGTGGACCAGTCGAGCCCAAGAAAAAGGCTGTGGTTAAACTCACCATTTGCACTGGCTCTGGGGAACAACGTTGAGAAGTCTTTTCTGGGATAGCGAGGAAGGGCCTTAACATAGTTTTTGGCCTGTTTTTAAAGACAAAAGAGAAATAAAAGTAAGCGTCTAAAACAGTACCACTGAGCCTATGTAAACCATGATGTAGTATTTATTTATTTATTCAAACTGTCAAAATAATTATTCACCATATTTGAGCCATATATTGGCTTATCAACAAAGACAGGGTTATGATATAAAGGTGTGAAATATCTGGTCACATTTATTGAAGGACATTTAATGAAGCTTCTGATGCACAGAAATGTGTGCATACAGAGCAAAATATGCACGCAGGTAAGCATGACACTAATAAATATAATCAATTATCATTCAGTTCTTGATTCTGGGTTTAATGAGAAATTAGATATGTGTTTAAGCTGTTACTTGTGGTACCCTGTAGATAAAATTTCTCTGATTACTATGTATTTAAATAACTTTGTTTCCATTAACCCTTTCTTCTACATGCTTTTTGTTGATGCCCTGACTTCTAGTGCCACCCTCAGGACATATCTTATATTGTTTACTCCCAGTACTAGTAAATCTTCAGTTTGTTGTTGTTGGATGCAAAAACTGCTAGTGGGACTAGCCTTGTTCATATTATTTGCATGGGTGTCAGTGAAAGATTTAGTGTGCTGTGTTCTAAGCGATTATACAGGGATGAAGCATTTTCACTTTCACCCTGGGGGAAATCACTTAATACTTTTAATTTGTCAGCTTAAAGCTGGTGGATATCAGCAAATTATCAACCCCTGGGATCAGTGATTTAAAAAAGCATTTCAGTGTAACTGTAGTTTCATGGCACATGTATATTTATGAAACACACACACATAGTAATTTGTCCTACCTCTGGACTGTCAAGCTTCTGTATGAACTCGGGGCCAGGTACTCCAGTTACTTTCATTATCTGAGTCAACTGGTCCATGTCTGGCAATGAAGGGGTTACAATCAAGGACTTTTAAACCTGGGATGTCCTTGGGGTTCAATAAACAAGCGTCCACTCAAAAGCAGTGGAAAGTAGGGTTTCTAAGCGGGCCCATAAAACAGAATACTAAAGGAAATGGAATGCCACTTGATGAAAGAGTGACAGCTTTATTTGCTTGTAGGCATTAAAAAACCAGTGAAGTGTATAGGGTGCAAAAAAGAACATAAAAGGAAAATATAAAACATGTAGAAAAAGTATGTAGTATAGTGCAGCAGTACCTGCATTGGATGCTGCCTAAGGAAATGTCTTGCTTTTGCTGCATGTAATATACTCCAACTGCGTTTTGTGTTCCATTCTGCACCTGATTTATAGGACCAATACACCTCATCAAATGAAACTGTCACAGTTTAATCAAGTGGCTTTCAATCACCTTTATTATCACAATGATTTAATAAAGTCTCTGTATACTGAAACCTATGTCATCGTTTCGTTTTACATGGGCTTTAAAAAGTGCAGGAAATGGACAAGGCAGATGAAAGGATACAGTCTCTCCCTTTGAAAAGGGTTTTTCCACTGATCATTTCTGCCATGATACAGCCCACAGACCAGATGTCCACTAGAATAGACACCAGAGAAAAAACATCAGTGAGAACCCAAGCAGAATACACATCAATAATAGTGTTTTAAGTTTAGCACGGTGTAGCAGAAATGAGGAAGGTGGCATTTATCCCATTTCAAACTTCCTATTTAAGATTATTTTGTGTACAATGCGGAATACTTGGTGAGTAATACAATCCCGTGAAAGATTCCTATGCCAGAGTTTCTTTCTGTGTGACACTCCATTCGGTACAGGCTGCTTACAAAATGAAAAACCCCTATCTCCTAAAGAAACATAAATCCTGGGAAAGTCAGTTTCATTGCAGCGACAGCTCTGTCATTGAGTCTCAGCACTTTCAGGCTGCTGTCAGACCCATCTGTGTCAACTCCCGACAGATTAAGGGGGAAAAAGATTTATCCATGCTACTTCAAATTCGTTTCATGCACCAGTGTCAGAATTATAAAAACTGCTGACCCATAAAGTTCTATACAAGCCATCGCTGAAAGGAAAACAACCGTATCTAGAGCTGGGATGTTTTCACACGAGACAGTCACAGTTACAGCACCAGCAGGCCAACTCTGTACTGAGACCATAGCAAGGACAGAGGTAAAAACAGCTACGATTGTCTTGCCGGTCTGGGTGTAGTGCATCCAGTTCAGAATGACCTCAGGGGCCCGGTACCAACGGGTCACCACGTAACCCGTCATCTCAGCGTCAGTACTGCGAGCCAGCCCGAAGTCCAGGATCTGCATTGGTGGCAAAGAAACTGGTCACAATCTTAAACATGAACAATGTATCAGACACCAGTAAAGTTAATATATTGTTTAAGAACTTGTTTTTACATGCATGCCAAACTGTGTGGACTCTTAATGGACATGTACACTGATACTGTCCATAATGGTTCCAATGTTGTATATTTTCATATACATAACGTGTTTCTCCCCGCAACCCTGTACACAGTATAAGCAGTTGACAATTGATGGATGGATAATGTGTTCCTTAAAATTAGAATGGGAGGTGATGGAGGAGTGGATAAAACACGTGCTTTTGGTGCAAGAGAGCCGGGTTCAATTCCCCACTGTGACACATCCACCAATGTGTCCCTGAGCAAGACCCTTAACCCCTAGTACCTACGATGACAATTTCAGACCCCTCCATGATTTCTAAGTGGGAGAACTTGCAAAATAGCAGGGTGTTCAAATACTTATTTTCCTCACTGTAGCTCCAGAGGCTGACATAAATAGCAGTTGTAAGTCACTTTGGATAAATGTAATGTAAGAATCAAAACATTAACGTCTGTTTTGTAACACAAACAACTGTAGGTAAAACCACATTTTTAAATTCTTCTTTACTTAATGAATCATATTATTTTGCTGCTGCAGCAGCCTTGTCAAGTTTTGTCATGTTTTTCTAGTGTAATCCTTCACAGTACAAACCTTGAGTTCACAATCTTGGTTTACAGCCAAGTTTCCAGGCTTAAGATCCTGTAAAAGAAAATTTGCTGAGTGATGGTTACTCAAATAGTAATTACAAGCAAATCATAAGCATTGTACTGTGTAGTATCATAACTGGGACTGGGAAGAGCCTTAGTTCTTTTACTTCCTAATATGGCTCAGCTGTATGAATACTGTGGGATGCAACATAGATTCTGTGGTGTTAACTCAACTTTAAGCTGACCATAAGACTCACTGCAGCATCTCTGCAGAGACATTTTCAAAATACTGTGACATAACGTGTGCTAAGTGTGGCACTGTTAGTGAGTGTTGATAACACCTTAACTGCGTTAGGAGTTACAGGAGTAATAGCAGGGTAACACTTTAACAGAGGACTGAATCAGAGTGTGCATACACACACACAAACAAAGACAGTTAGCTGATCTCAAACAGATATTCAGATCTCAACCACCACACATCAATAGCTTAGTTAAAAATAAGCATTATCGATAAATGTTATGATCAAAACAAACTGTCTTTGAGCAATGACAAGATTTTAAAATGTTTTGTTATTCTTGGCAACATAACTATTAATTGTGCCACTGAAAGGTCTTTGGGTGTCTAAGACATAAAAAGCCATTAATATTTGCCTGCTGTGGCCTAATACTACTTTCCTTACTTCACACATAAACCCACACACTTCCTCTGAAGGGTGTGGCCTAACATCTCTAGACTTGCAGTCAGACATCAGAGATGAGTCAACTCATCCTACCTGTTGGGGCAGGGTTTGATGGGACTCAAAAACAATGATTAATTAAATCAATGTCCTTCCGTAGTACAGGAGGAAGTGTGCTATCTGAGCCAGAATAATGTGCAGTACACACATACCAATTTATTAAGAATAGTTGTACAGACCAAATCATTTAACATTTTTAACTAAGCTCTTTAACTTGTACTTACCCTGTGGATAATTCCAGCCTTGTGAATGTACTGCAGAAATGGAGAGACAGACAATTTTATTGCAGCCACATCCAAAACATATATACAGAATACTGCATTTATTTATGTTTTTTTGATCATTTTTAATATTTCTTTACATGATGGTTTTATAAGTACGCACTATAAGCTCACCTGACAACTCTTGTTATAATGGCAAAGAAAGTCAATGGCAAAGGAGTTTGAACAACAACACCAGTTTTTACTTTCCAATGCATCCTTCATTATAAGTGTACATGCGTGTAATGCAAGTGCAGACAGTTCTTTGTAATTATTGTAGCTGTAATGTATTAAACACATACAGTATAATTCTGCCATGACTGTATTACATGATTACCTTGGAACAGATTCCTAATAAGTTACTTAATGCGTTATGATAAAATTGTACACTTCTGAAAGGTCAGCTTCCTCGGCTCACCCTGAGTCCACAGAGCATCTGGTAGACGAGAAACTGGACTTTGTCTTCTGAGAGATTACCTCGCACCTTCGACAGGTCAGTAAACATGTAAGGCATCACCAGGTAGCTGAGAGAAAGAGAGGGAGAGATGCCGAGTGAGCAAGAGAATAAATGGAAATAAAATGGACAGTATGATACCTACTGTGTCGTGTCAGTAGGCATAAATCAAAATTCAGCCAATAAAATTTAGGCTTACTGTTCTCAGGTTCTCTAACATACTTAGTGCAGACACCAATTAGATAATCAGAGACCCATTACTGATTTTTGAAGAATCCTCACTGAAAACCATAATGACTGTCTATTTTTTACCCAGAAATGTGTCTTTTTTTTAATTTGAAATCCACATCATGCTCAGTGCACTTTTAAATTGTGTTCCTTCATCAAGACCTTAAGTTCTTGTTTGATTTGTAGGTTTGGTCTAATTACTGTAGCATTCAGTTAATCCCAGTCTTTTTGTCTAGAGGAATAGTATGCTCCTAACTTTGTGGCTACCTTTAGTAGAAGGTATTTTCCTGTTTTATCCTGACAATGCCACCATGCGCAAAGCCAGGACATTAACTTCATACCTATGAAAAGCAAATTACCTTCCAGATCCAGGTCTTGAAAGTCTTTAAATGTTATGTGCCATGATGCATATAAGACCAAACATGTCAAACTGAGTAACCTGACATGCTCCTGTCAGAAAAGTGAGAAAAGAATCTGTACTAACCAATTTTTTAACCCCTAATATAGAAAACAATCTTTGTTCCCAAAGATTCTGCAGTCCTGTATGCATTTCTGCAAGTGAAAACTAAACCTGCAGATCATCAGAGGCGTTGCTTGTTTCTGTCTGAAGGCTTTAGTCATATTGCTAATAATAATAATAATAATACTCACAAGTCCTGGATGTCATGGAGGCCTGAGGCAGGTGTAAACACATCAAGAAGTCCTATCACCTAGTTGGAATGAAAGAGCAAGGTGATGAATACAGAGACCCGGGAGCAGACATGAGGAGTTGAAGTATTTACAGCACATTATCATATTTAAAATGCAAAATGATTAAATTAAGTCCAATAACACAAGTCAAAATGGCAGTCTGTAAAAGGAATTAGGAGATGTTTGTTTAATTTACTCACATTTTCATGCTTCATGTGTTTGAGCAGTCGGAGCTCTCGGTAGGCCCTTTTAGCAAAGATCTCTGACTGGAAGGGCCTGTGGAGCTTCTTGATGGCCACTTTCTCTTTAGTCCTCTCATTTATTGCTGAGCTGTGGTGAAGAATAAAATAACAACAATTCATTAGCTTTACACTCCAAGTCTGCATGGGCCTTCTAGTTTCACTATGATTTCACGCTTTTGAAATCAAAACAGTGAAAAAATTATAGGACAGTCTATTTTTTAGGTTTCACTCTTGCTAAGAAATTCTGCATGAAATCCTCTGCAATGACGTTTTCAAATTGAGGCACTGTATGTGAGACTCTCTCTGTCTAACTGAGTGGGGTTTTTTTGAGTATGAACATGTAAATGCCTGGTTCGTGATATGCATGTCTGCAGTAATCTGCAGGGCACCAAATCGTGGGAGGAAAGGCTTGTTAGGCTATTTGGAGCCACATCCACCAACACATATTACACATAACACTTGAGCAAAGTGCTGTGGACAACACTGATGCACTAATGTAGGATATTACAATAAATTTTACCCGCAGCAGCTGATCCATGCCAGTCAAACATGGTATAATACAATACATGTAAGACATACAATAGCTATGAAACTAAGGACTGTGTTACCAGTAAGTATTTCCTTGTCTTCTTGTTTGCAATTTCCCACAAGATGGTTTATGAGAGACGTTCAAATTGCCAAATTTACAGAAAATGGTGGTGGCTTGATACCAGTTCATCAGATGGTGGTTCTTATAAAAGGTCAGACTTTTTAAACATTTAACAGACCATCTCCCTCACACTATAATGCTTAAAACCCTGGTAACCATAGTTAGCAGGCCAGTTTCTGCAGATCTGACAACAGAAGCACCAAACTCCACTATGATGGATGATAAACCATTTTGACTTGGCTCTCAAAATGTTCACCTTCTAAGCCTCATTAGTCAGTGTACACAGACAAATGATCTATTAACCCCCCTCAATGGGATAAATGACAAAGGTGAGACTGGATCTGGCCTAACAACAAAAATGCAGTGACTAATTTTCTGAATACAACTTGGTGAATGTTCAGCAGATGTTATCCAGCTCCTGTGTAATGGAATCCTAAAATTATCCAATTTGTGGTGCTACAATTGACAATGATTATGTTATAGTATGGATAATGAAATGTGACAACTATAACTATGGGCACATTGTGACAGCTATGAGCACTCTAGCAGTAGCATGCTAGTGGCACTCTGTGGCAGGCTAGCGGCACGCTGTGGCAGTTAGCACTGTGGCATGCTAGCGGCACGCTGTGGCATGCTAGCGGCACACTGTGGCAGCTAGCGCTGTGGCAGGCTAGCGGCACGCTGTGGCAGTTAGCACTGTGGCATGCTAGCGGCATGCTGTGGCAGGCTAGCGGCATGCTGTGGCAGGCTAGCGGAACGCTGTGGCATGCTAGCGGCACGCTGTGGCATGCTAGCGGCACGCTGTGGCATGCTAATGCTGTGGCAGGCTAGCGGCACTCTGTGGCATGCTAGTGCTGTGGCAGGCTAGCGGCACTCTGTGGCATGCTAGTGCTGTGGCAGGCACTCTGTGGCAGCTAGTGCTGTGGCAGCTGGCGGCATGCTGTGGCAGGCTAGCGGCACGCTGTGGCAGGCTAGCGGCACGCTGTGGCAGGCTAGCGGCACACTGTAGCAGTTAGCGCTGTGGCAGCTAGCGGCACTCTGTGGCAGCTAGTGCTGTGGCAGGCTAGCGGCATGCTGTAGCAGTTAGCGCTGTGGCAGCTAGCGGCATGCTGTAGCAGCTAGTGCTGTGGCAGGCTAGCGGCACTCTGTAGCAGCTAGTGCTGTGGCAGCTAGCGGCACTCTGTGGCAGTTAGCGCTGTGGCAGGCTAGCGGCACACTGTAGCAGTTAGCGCTGTGGCAGCTAGCGGCACACTGTGGCAGCTAGTGCTGTGGCAGGCTAGCGGCACTCTGTGGCAGGCTAGCGGCACGCTGTGGCAGGCTAGCGGCACGCTGTGGCAGGCTAGCGGCACACTGTAGCAGTTAGCGCTGTGGCAGCTAGCGGCACTCTGTGGCGGCTAGTGCTGTGGCAGGCACTCTGTGCCAGCTAGTGCTGTGGCAGCTGGCGGCACGCTGTGGCATGCTAGCGGCACGCTGTGGCAGCTAGTGCTGTGGCAGGCTAGCGGCATGCTGTGGCAGGCTAGCGGCACTCTGTGGCGGCTAGGGCTGTGGCAACTAGGGTCACACTAGCTGCCACAGAGTGCCGTTACCAGCCACTGGGAGACTATCGCCCAGTATTTTGAAAAGGCCCAGAGCGTAGGTTATAGATCCCAGTGCCTATGTACAATATTTGTATGAAACTTCTCAGCAGCCTTGTATGTATTGTAATTGTGGTTGTAACAACCTTTAGACACTTTTCCCCATCTGATTTAAATAATGTGATATTACAATGTATCACCATTGGAATTTTACACCTTTTAACACCTTTTTCAAGAGGCTTTTTTATTTTTGACCTTTAATGATGGGATATCACCAATTAAGGTTGTATTTATCTAACGCTAGTCAGCTGTATAAACAACATGGTATCCTTAACTGTAAGTCAATAATGTTGAGTGATGTTGGGTGTGTCCAGGCAGGAAGCTTAACTGACTAAATTTGCCTAAACAAGAATGTGAATTTATGTGTGAATGCAACAACACGTTGCCACTGGAACCTGCCATCCCCTTGAAGCCTGACCCCTATGAGTATTGCTAAAATTAAATTTTAATTTCTGTACCATGTGTGTTACTACAGGTCAATCCATGTAGAGCCATAAAATAAGTAAAATATTTACGTTAAATATTTACAAATGCACTGCAGCCTATAACTGTAACGTTACCTTGCATTTAACTGCGTGTAGAAAATCAAAGTGGAACGTGGCCATCTTTAATACTGATATTCTAAAATAGCTACATCACCTCTATTATTGCACAGATGATTACATTTAAGGTTGAAAAGGTATGTTTTATGAGGTATGTAACTTAGCCTTCGTGCTAACAAATGACACATGCTTTCAGAAAGTGGTGCCAGGAATACGTTAACTTGTTAACATGAGTTGTTAGCTGTGACATCGGTGTTGACTGTGTGTTGCTGAACACTACGGGACATAAGGACATCACGCAGGCCCACCACAGACTGCATACAGCCACTGTCCGCTAACGTTAATGAGTGCTGGGCTCAGACTCAACAGTATTCATAATGTTACACAGTCCAATCGCAAATACGACACATAATAATAATAATAATTCATGCAGCGTCCATTAAATGACAAGTCACTCACCAAACCGAGCCGTACGCCCCAGTCCCTATCTGTTTGAGCCGTGTGTATTTCTCCGGGACTTCCCACACCGTGTTGTTGATTTCCTCACGGGAAAAATGTGCCTGGACCTCCATAACGAAGAGGAGAAGGCGTCGCTCGAAAAGAAACTTCTCCCCCGTCCGTCCGTCTCTTGCTTAGTTGGTAAATCAAAACACTGCTCAAGTAAAGTTACGAGACAATATACCTTACAGCGTACTTCCGTTAGGGTTTTTCAAAATAATATTCGTAAGACACCTTTGGCTTAGGAAAGCCAAAAGTGCCATTATTGGCATTTATTTTTACGCGATTTACAGTCAACCCCATTTTTTATGTCATTAGATTCGTCAGAAATGCATACTGTAAAAACTGACTGTGCTCATCACATAGAACTGTGATTTATATAGTTAGGGGAGATCGGGTATGGTTGTAACATGGGGAGAGTTGTAACAAAACCAATTCCACCAAATAGAGATAAGATAGGAGTTAGGTGATCATTTCAGTATTTACCTACTTCCTCCCAGATCAAGCATGGTGGTTATCCAGTCTGAAAAGAGGTAATATCTCTCCAAAAGACCTGCACTAAAATGATTTTTAAAAAATACGGAAAAACGTGTGAGTTCAATACGGAACACGCCTTATATTTTTCTATTTTGAGGCAATCAATATTTCTACCGGAGGTTTCCATATTTTACAGGATGGTTAGTAACCCTAAAACCCCCAGCTAAATACATTTAGCAAACTTGGCATTTAATTGTTATTAATTTTTTATTTTCTTGTTTCATATTATAATTATTTGACTTTTCATTTGACTTTCACTTAAAAAAGCTAAATGGTCTTATTTTCAATTTTCATTAAACAAATCTTTATTTTGAAGGCAAACCAAAGTTCTGGTCTAGCTGACTGTCTCTGTGGGCTTGACTAAGTACCACATTATTATGCTGTCAGTAAACTGTATTCTTTAACAGTGGACATGTTAGGTAGCCTGGATGAAAACAGGTAGCCTCATATAGTCTTCCCTTGCAGAAAACCATTTCACTATAAAAAAAGCTTTGTGTGGAAAACAACCAAGTGGTGTAACGCTATAGACTAGGCTACATCAAGAGATCCTCAATGTGAAAAATCCCATCTCTTGCTTGCAGAAACATGTCAATATGACTCGATTTGCTCCCACCCACACATAGTAGGTGTTACTTGTCATGAATAATTACTGTACATTGCCAGAAGTTTATGAATCATGGCAGCCTTCAGCAGGGCATTCATACTTAAAAATGGACAAAAACATTTAAATGAAGCCCTGAGATTTTGACTTTGTACACAAATATATTCTAGGTTTATTATTACATTAATACATGATGCAAAACTAGGAACCCTTCTTTTTCAGTCATAACTCCTCACAGATTTATGCTATTTTTTGTGTTATAATCCGAACAAACACTACATAAAAATGTTTATTCCTGTACTGCAAACATACTGTTCTTAACGTGTGTAAAAACACTTCTCCCTGAAAGCCTGAAAAGCCAGAAAATCAACACTGAAATGTGCAAAGTCATCAAGATACTTTACCTGACACTGCTCCATTGGCAGTCTTTAAAAGACTGACCTTGTGAATTCAATGTTGGTGTTTTTCACTTCCTTCCATCTGAATGGGGATCCTGTTACAGTGATACTGTGCTTATAATTACCCTGTCTACTGAATTTATGTTGAGCTTAACATATCTGTGTGATAATGCATTCTGTGTTAATTCAGTTTCAGCTTTTTTTGTTATTAGTATCTGTGAAGTTACATATAAATAAATAATAAATAAAAAAATCCATTGGGTACATGTAAAGAGGGTGGTCTTATATAACTAATTAATTAAAATAAACTAAGATTATTATTATAAATAAGAATTCCCTAGAATATTCATTTTTGGAAAGTCAATTACACATGCAAACTGTTATTTATTTATTATAATAATAAATGTTAGATCAGATGGGGACCATGTAGGCATGTTAGTCTCATGTTTATTCAAGAGGAGAATCTAAGAAAACTCAATGGTGCAAAGATGGTACAAATAAAATTTAATTAAATGATCAAACAAAAAAAATGAGCAAATTCATGTGTAATGCTCAGTGGTATTCATTAAAGTAAAAAAAGGGATGAGGTGAGGTGTTCTGAAGTCTGAAATAAATACAATTTTTACTGCTGGAGGACCCAAAATGACCACAATATATCTGTGGGTGTTGAAAGGGTTATGGATCAATACCAATGACTCAGCCATTTCTTGGCCAGCTGCTGACCCTCCTGGCCTTCAAAACTCACTTTCCATCCTGTTCTCTGTTTTGGAGAGAAAACATCTGACGTACTGGACTTCCAAGACCTAATCTTAACCAACCTCTATTAAGTCAAGTGATTAGAGAATTAGACTAGCCTTGAGGTTGAAACTGTAGCATCCACATGACAGAGACGTTTTCCCCTTTCACTCATTTGTCTGTAAGACACGTACATTGACTCATGTGCTCACCATGTTAGCAGCACTCACACACAAGCTTGTGTCTCGGTAAAAGTCAAAACAGTGACACACAACCAAGGCTGTCTGCAGACTTTGCACCTTCTCAATTTGTACTTAATGCTGCAAAGCTAAGCTTTTGGAGATCTGCAGCATCTGGAAAGCAAACCTTGCTGAATAACTGGCTGGAAATGCCTGTCAACAGACCACCAATGATAGAGAAACACCTACAGATTAGAGTTCAGCGTGATGTAATTTTAATTTATAAGTGCTAAACGGAATGTTTTTGATTGGATTAATCTTGTTATGTCATATTTAAATGTAAACTTTTTTCAATTTGTTGCAAACTGGTTTGGCAACATTGTTTAAATGAAACATTCATGCCAATAAAGTACACTGATCTGAACTGAACTGAGTGATCATACAGGTAAGACACCGTCTAAATTCATGATTTTTCTATGCTTAATTTATTAAAGAGGTGGTATTATGCTCATTTTCAGGTTCAAAATCTTATTTAGGGGTTGTACCAGAACAGGTTTACAAGGTTTAATACACCATAATTTTCTTATACTGCACATTGCTGCAGCTCCTCTTTTCACCCTGTGTGTTGTACACTCTGCTCTTGAGCTACAGAGTGATGCATCTTACTTGTACAAAATCTTTGTTGGGAGTTGCACATGCGCAGTTCCCAGGTAAGGACTACTAGCCAATCAGAAGCAGAGAAGGGCGGGTCGTTAGAAACAAGGTAGTGTGATCCAAATCAAAGCTGTTCAGACTGCGACTATAACCTAGCAGATGGTATAAGTTACTCACAAGTCCACAACATCATTGTTCCACATCTTACCATAAACCACTATAAATCACCATATTTCAACTCAATTTTACATAAAAATCTGCCAAACAATTTGAATGTTTGCTCAGTAGCTTTCACACAAGGCATAACATTAGCATTATAGTTATAACTTTAGCTGTGTTAGCCAACGTTTACAACAACTCCGCACTTGAACAGTCTGTGAAGTTACATTACCATGTTTATTTTCAATACTATTCACAACCAATAAAGCATACTTACAGGTTGTGATAGTGAATTTCCAGGCCCAAACAGATTCGGAGCTGCATCGTCTTTTAGGACTAAACGTTGAACTGTTGCCGGTGTTCTGACGATCTATGCTGCCTTGCCGAAAAATGCTACCATAGCGCAAATCGACAGGCTCGACTCTACTCAGCCCTGCTCCGTTTTCCATTGCAGACAGTACCCAGAGATAGTACGTAGCTTGTTGTCATAGCACACACAACTGCCGCGACGTGATGTTCAATGTGACACACACACCAGCGATCCACACAGCTTTGTCTTTTTTAAGTTAAAACGTTTCAAAATTCCTCAAAATGTAAAGACAGATAAGCGGTATGAAAACCTTCCAGCTGTGTTTTCCTCTGCCGTTGTTGCTGCAGCGGTCTGTGTGACGGCGGGAGCAGAGGGCTCTGTGAGCGGGCGGCTGGCCGGCCTCACACGCTCCTCCCGCGGGTTGGCGCAGGCTTCTCCCGCAGCCAATTGCGAAGCTCCTCAACTCCAAAAATATTTAAGCACATTTTTGTCCCGCCATCACTTCTCGTAAAACTGTCAATATTCGAAATGTACACAGCTGATTTCTCACCTCAGAAGTGGATTTAGTGATGAAATTCCATACGGAAACTGTAAAATATAAAACTTTCTGTTGCTGGCCTCTGTCTGGCGCGCGCAATGATGATGCAGTGAACAGTGAATATTCTCTCTGAACAATCAGCAGTCTGTCATGTTTTCACGTTACATTTTAGTTTCCCTCAGCTCGCTTGGAACCTCGATGGAGGTGAGGTGATATGAAAAAAAGTACCTGGAAGCAGGTACAGGTGCAACATTTCTACAATGGAAAACCAAACAAAGGCGAGTGGAGCCAAAGGGCCTCCGCTCAGACTAGCTTGGTTTGAGGGCGTGCCTGACCCTGCTAGCCGCTTGGCAAGCTTTATGACGCGTTTTCATTGTGACGTCACAAGTAAAGGAAGTGAAGGGCTGGACTACAAACAAGCTGTTTTCAAGTGGTTCAGAGCAGAGCTTTCTGTGGGAGATGGGAACTCCCTTTGGGCTGGACTTTGGGCTTTTTCACTATGCAAACCTGTTACATGCACAAAAACGATATATAACTCAATAAAGGAGCAGGGAAAAAGCCTAAAACCAGAATACCACCTCTTTAATTAATCTCCATAAAACCCATTAAAAAGCTATCTCAGTGCAAACATGAACTAACATAACTAGCTGACTTCAAAGGTAGACAAGTAGGCTAACAGTTTATTTTGGCCTGCTTGAACAACAGAGACACAGTATACTTGGTTTAAAACGATTATTTGACAGCTGTATTGTTCTACATGTCTTAGGAAAGGTGTGTAATATATACTCTTGTGCAGTGATTTGAAAACACTGAACACCTCTGAAATGTATAGCAATTGTAAGTCGCTTTGGATAAAAGTATCAGATAAATGTAAAATCTTGAGCATCAACTTTTCCCACTATGGCGTTTTTAAAAAAAAGATGGCGACTGGGCCAATTTTTATAAAATGCCATAAATATATTTTTATTGTGGTCATAGAGGTGATGGAACTACAGTAGAAACTCCTTATAGTGATAGATGTCTGTCTGGGTCAAAAATTCCTATACTACATTGT